CAGATCCATGCGGGATGGATGGATCGTCTGGGTAGCGTCAGGCCGGCCAGGTCAGCAACGTGCAGGCAGTGAGGTACCGGAAGAGCAGGCAGAGAATAGTCAGGGTCACAAGCCGGGTTCAGGAACTCACGGGCAGCGCGGTACAGAGGATCAGGCAGAGAATGGTCAGGGTCACAAGCCGGGTTCAGTAACTCACGGGTAGCACGGTACAGAGGATCAGGCAGAAGGATGGTCAGGCAAGCCAGGGGTTAAACAGGAGATGGTCAGCAGGGTCAGGAACAATGCAGAGTCAGCAACAAATCAGATAGGCAGAGGAACAGGAACACAGGATACAAGGTACAGGGCTCATGGGAAACATACACCAAGGCACTGATCACAGGCCTGGTCCTGCTTAAATACACCTCCTGCAATCAGCTTCAGCTGATGGCTGACTGCAGGAGTGAGCTTCTTGTTGTTGAGAGCACCCGCTAGCCAGCCCTGGTACTGCAGCCCACAGGGCAGGTGAGTCCCACCACCAGTGGTGAATCCATTCCTGACACTGGGTTGGAGAAGCTCCTCCACTTTGAGACAGAAATATTTATCAACAATCTCCCTTAAGAAATCTATGAAGATAAATTAATTCCACTTTTTCAGACTGATGGAAAATTGTATGAGTTTTGTCTTGTGATGACTTTTCTAATGGATAGATAAAACAGATGGGGGCCAGACACCTGAAAGACAGCATGTGTAATGTACTTTGTGTATTAAGGGTTAGAGATGCCGGGCTATCTGGGGTGGGCTCCCTGGCTTGTCTGGGTGCTTGGCTATTGAATAGCTTACTGTTAATTAAACCACTGTTTAATTAGGTTACTGTTAGCTGCTAGCTGTTCATTAGATGTACTGTTAGATATACTAATGATATTACTGGTTAAAGGTTGCATTGTTTAGGATCATATGATCAAGCTCTTATCTGATTTTGTATGTTATAAATTATGTGTGAATTTTCAACAAAGGAGAGTTCCAGTTGTACCTAAGCTAGTGTCATCTAGTTCTTGGGTGCAATGCCCATCTATAATACCTTGGTTCTGTGCCCTATCGGTGTGGAAGCAGTTCTTTGACTGAAGCACCCAGGTAGGGTGCCAGGTAGTCTGTCACAACTAGCACAGTGGGCCCTAATGAGCCACAGTCCTCCAAGACAATATTGTATATAACTATCTTAGATGGACTGCTTCACCAACATATTTTTAATGTTATTTAAAATGTTGACAACTATGTAAGAAGAGGTAGAAGCAAATGGAGTACCACAGGGTTCCTAACAAACTCGAAAGTACATTCATGAAAGGAGTGACGCTATGGTAGAGGACATTAAAGACACCACTTAAGTGGCCTAAAGGCGGATCAGAAAACAAAAAACACAGTGCTCCATATGCATGCATAAGAAATGCCATTTTATATAATCACAATTTTCCCCTGTAAGTCTAAAACAGTTGTAGAACATCTGAACATATGTTTCTAGCAAGGCCAAGCTTCCCAGCATACTTTTAGATTAGTAACAGAGCCAGTATGAAAGACTTTGATGATCAATTGCTGCTGGATGGCAAGTGGACGATCCTGAAATTTATTTCCAACATCTGCCATTGAAGTTATGCATGTAAGGGGGAAAAATCCACAGAGTGGAGCTACAACGTGTCTATGTTCACTAAAATGTCAGTGTCTTAATACCCTCTTTCAATAGATATTTGTGATTAAAATAAAATATTCATTCTTACTCTGCTGAATATATTCTGTTTTTGATTATATGCAATCCTTAGTATTATCTGAGGTTTCTGCTATCAGAACTTCAACTTTGATTCTGGTTTGCTAGGATTAACTATACACATATAGGAAGCCATACTTTAAAGGACATAGGTAGGTATACTATAAATACACACATATATTGCTATGCTAATTGAATAACCTTATTAAAGCATATCTAAAGCCAAAACTTTTTCCCTACACTTACTGTCAAGTGGAAGCAATACGAAATGAGAAATACTCTCTGAAGAGAGGAAAATGCCGTCTCAGATAGATGCCAACAGAATAAGTGTCTCCATCATAAACTTTCCCCTCAATGTTCTGATTACATTTTTGAATTTTGGATTTTCCCTTATTTTCAGTCCTATGATAATGGTTACTAGGACAAACAAAGAAGGTAAATCTTCCTAGTGGGTATAAACACAGTACATAAACTATCCAAACTTAAAGAAAAAAGTTTGGGCTTTAAATACACTAAGGGGTTTACTTATAATTCGCTTGTTTTCTAATTAGATTCATTTGGAAAAATGTATGAATCCTAGATGAAACTCGTGTGTGGCAACATTTATAAACAGACCCTTTAACATGCCTTGGTTCCTGATATCAAGTCATGAATAAAAGTCTATTGATTGCATTAGAAGCCTTTTTGCCAATACATAGATGCACTTCGATCAAAATTAGCTGATATTGTCATTCTGATCTTCCCATACATGATTACTCAGTACATTCACTTCCCACAAATAATCATTCGTTTAAAAATTGGTTTTGCTCAAAAAAAAAAAAAAAAAGCCCTTGAGAGCGACTCACAGAGGTTGGGTGCTCATGATGAAGAAGGGTCCTCTCTTTCATTTTTATCATTAAAGATGAGCTTGGGTATCCTGCAACCTCACCTCTATCCAAACTCTTTTTTAGTCCAGTCAGCTACAGTAACATAAGTCAATTTCATTGACTTAATATGGGCATGCATCCATAGAATGGGGGAGCTACAACTCATGACGTTACCATACATCTTAGAACTAAGAAGTGGTCAATGTGATTCCCGGGACTGGAGTTTTATATTGATAAGCGTTTTCTGTTTTTAAATATTGTAAGTGTATAATACTTTTTAAATAAATTATTTTCATACTTTTTTACGCTATGTGGCTTTTCCAGCTTTCTCTCCATGTTATGGTAGAATATCCTTTGCATACGGATACGGTGTTCAAGAGACCATAAGTGGAGATATGGTGGTAGTTTATATCTTTTCGCACAAGCGCATGTGACTTTTTTTACACTTAAGGTGGTGGTACACTCAAAGGCATTATTGGTGTCTGCAGCACCAATTGATTTAAAAATCAAGACACTTCATGGTTTCACTCATCATTTGGGACTGTGTTCACATATTTGGGACTATCACTTTTATTAGTTTTGTGTTGGCACTAGGATTTGAAATTTTCAATATTATATGCATGTTATATGTGATAAGAGCGGCATTTTTTTACTTACATTTGTTGCATAACTTATCTGATTGTTATGCCAACTGCTATCTGCTATCCTGGGCACAATTTCTTTTTCTTTTATTTTAATCCATATAAGGGTACTGATGTCACCAGCATCCCACCCCTATGTTCACATAGTTTTCAAAGTGTTGGATGACCCGGCCCACAGCTGACTGGACTAAAAAAGAGTGTGAAGTGAGTTTCAGAGGACACCCAAAGTCATCTCTAGGTATCCAGAGTCTCTTTGCAGAGGAAGCAGATTAAGGACTGTAAACTGTTAGTGTTGTGGCATGGCATATGGTCCATTGGTTGGTATATAATTATCACAAGTTATACCAATAAAGGTATCAAAATGTGTGGAATAGGAAATCATATGGTTTTGACAGGAACACGCCTTGCATCTCATCATCAATATATCTCGAGAGAATATCCATGTACATAAAGCCCACTACTGCCCACAACTAAAAAAATTATCACTAAATTTTGCAACTAAACTTTTGCCAATTTAGAGAAATCATGTGTGTGAATATAATTTTCAGCTTATTTAAATAAAAAGAAAGAGCATTTTAGGTTCGTAATTTGACAAAATAAATGGGCACATCTTTAATACATCTATGTTTTTCTTTCTTAGATCCCCTCCCTGGAGATCTTTTTGAAATACTGCAGAGTTTCAGGCAATGTTTGGACTCAGGGTTGTGGCGTGGTTTGGAAACCCTCTCAAAGCCATTCCGTTTTAAAGAAGGAATCAGGACTCCATTTACAGTAAATTATTAAATTGTTTAAATGTCATATTTTCTCTGCCAAAATAACTTTCATTTTAATAAAACATGCTTTTGGCAAAAAGCCACCTCTAATCCGTTTGACACGAACCGGGTCTGTTGCTTTTAAAAAGCCAAACGTCTTGGGCTTAATGAGGACCTAAAGGCAACAAAAGTGGAATACTTCATTAATAGCAACCATGGGCGAATCACAAGTTTTCAATTTGAAAAACTGGAATGTTTTGACGATGTATTCACATTGCTAATGTCTATTTTGTGGCCTTGAAGGCAAAACAATGAGGCCCAATTAAACCCATAAAGTATTCTTTTTTATCAAACACAATTACATTAATTTAGTAAGTCACAGTGGAATGTGCAATAACCCAAGAATGTTTTGTATTGTTCAGGCTACTCTAAACCAACAAATTCTATAAGTTATTGGTCTTTCTATGAACTCAATGAGACAGTATGGGTAATTGTTGGAGGTATAAAACAGTTACTGTATTTCAGGAAAGAACTAAGAATGTGAGGGTGATCACAAACTGTTTACTTATAACCAGTAGACCATTTTGGGCCAGTTATCCAATAACCATACTGTATATGTCAGGAAAATGACTCTTGATGCCAACCAATAAATAGTCTGCAATAATAAGACAATGAATGGTCAAGACTAGAGATGAGCGAATCGAACATGACGAAGTGGAATTCGTTCCGAAGATTTGGAAAAATTCTATTCGCAACGAATCCGAAGATTAGCAAACTTCGGATGCACGAATCGAATTTTCCCAAAAATGGCGGCGACATGTGTGGCCACGGAGAAAATGGACAGAGAAGATGGGGCGGGGAATTCTGGGAAGGCGCGCAGACAAGGCGCGCTGACCCATAATGCGTTCATGACATGTGATCGCATTAGCCAATCAGCAGCCAGCCAGCACTGTGTAATGGTGGAGCTATAAATCGCGGCCATCTTAGAATTCTCCATTAGCCTCCGGTCATTCAAGAGAGACAGACCTGTGTGTATTAAGGGACAGAGTTAGGGCCACAGAGACTTTAGGGCCACAGAATCGTTACTCAGGGACACAGAATCGTTACTCAGGGACACAGAATCGTTACTCAGGGACACAGAATCGTTACTCAGGGACACAGAATCGTTACTTAGGGCCACAGCTATCAAAGAATCGAAAATTTAAAGTGACATACACCCTTTTATTTTTTGGTGGCTGTCGTGCACAGTTGGTGCTGCAGTTTGCAGATTGTGCAAAATAAACTGACTTTCTGCTTCACAACCACTATTGTACGTTCAAAGAGTTAAATCCATTTACACGCCGGCTGGCGGTAATATTTTTTGGGTGATTAGTGCATTCCAGTGACATAAACGTACAGTTTCCAGCCAACGGCAAGCTGCAATTGACCGATTGTGTACAATAAACTGACTTTCTGCTTCACAACCACTATTGTACGTTCAAAGAGTTAGATCCATTTACACGCCGGGTGGCGGTAATATTTTTTGGGTGATTAGTGCATTCCAGTGACAGAAACGTACAGTTTCCAGCCAACGGCAAGCTGCAATTGACCGATTGTGCTAAATAAACTGACTTCACAACCACTATTGTACGTTCAAATTTTGTCATAGGGTGCTGTATGGCCTCCCATTGCTGCTGCCTCCACCGCCACACTGTGGCTCCACACTCTGGTTTTGGCCCCGTGACTGCCCAAATGAGTGAAGTGTGCGGTGATTCTAAGATCGACGGCACTCATCTGCATGTCATACTGACTGACATTATTATTTCTCTTCCCCAGCAGACTCCAAGGGCATTTAAATTAAAGGTACAGTGTTCTGCACAAATATAAAGGCTCTCTGAAGCCTAGAAACACCCTTTTTTATAAGTTAAATTCGCAGCGAATATATTCGGCTCGAAGCGAATTTATTCGGCGAATTCGGCGAATCAGCCGAACCGAATTTTTGAATAATTCGCTCATCTCTAGTCAAGACAGTTGATGTGAGCGCATCATTGATATCAACATTGATATTTGCTTTCATTTCCTAAAGCCTGTAGTGTCCAAAATAAGCAAATGTGAGAATATATGGTTGTCTGTTGGTAATTGTTTGTACTCCAAAATGTTGAAATCATTGACAGCTAGGAAGATCTGCTGTCAGGATATGCAAGAAAAACACTAGGGCAACTACTGCTTCCATGCTTACTGGAATTTCTGAAGGAAGACGATGTAGAAATTTAGAATTTCACTACAAAGTACCCACTCTTGTTAATAGCAGCTGATATGCCTATTCATAATTGCGAATGGGGCCATTTGCAATCAGATGTGGGATGTGTGTGGGAGGAAGCCTCATTGAAAACAATGGGAGGCTGATAGCTTCCACACATATTCGCAGCTGCTCACATGTAATTGCTCATGGAGCGATTACCTGCAAATGACTGGCCCTGGATGCATTCTGCGTCTTCCCAAATCACATTTAGTCCTCAGAGATCTGGGGATATCTACAGGGAAGTCATTGAGAAGACTTCAGCACAAACAAAAAGCACAGGAAAAATTAACAGGTATTGTTTTTCACTTGCCAAACATACAACAAAATGTTTTAATTGGTATATTTAACAGACTAAATAAGTTCAATATAAGGGTTTATATACCCTTTAACCTCTTTTCATAGTCTATAGATGGCGGATGGGAAGCTTTGCCCATGCCGGCTAATGAACCTGTACGTCAGCCCACATTGGCGGCTCCTGTGTGGCTCACAGAGCTTACCCCCCCCCCCCCCCATAGACTGTCAATCAATATATCTAACAAAACTAAGCAAAAACATTTTTTTTTTCCAAAATGTTCTCCCTTTTTTCATTTATATATCAAAAAATTAAAAACCCAGTGGTGATCAAATACCACCAAGAGAAAGCTCTATCTGTTTTAAAAAAAATGATGAAAAATTCATATGGGAACAGCATAGTTAGTGTCACTCAAAGTGTGATGTGCTGAAAGCAGAAAATTGGCCTGTGCTGGAAGAAGTTGAAAGTGTCCAGAAGTGGTTAAATAACTTCCTCAATGGAAACAGCATATACTGTAAATGAATTTGTGCCCAAGATACTTTTGCAAAACTAGATTTAATTTAATAAAACTAGCAGTGACACCATCACTGTGTGTATGTAGTCTGTGCAGAGAGCCAATCTGGGGGTATGATCAAACTAATCTACCTTGCACAGGCTGCCTACAGAAAACTATGGGGTGGAGGAGACAAGACCAGTCACCCTGCAGGAAGCTCCTACAAAGATTCAAGTTTCCGGAGTTTTTCATACTGGATTACTGTAGAGATCAGGAAGAAACAGACCAAGGTTGCCTAGTCCCAAATAATAATTCAAATTTCTCTTATAATTTTTGCCTGGATTTCAAAATGTAAACAATCTTACCACCTTTTCCATAATGCATAACAATGTGAGAATTCTAACCTGATCTGGAGAGGGTCTATGGCTAGAAAGCATTCTCCCAGGAGAACGATGATGGTGGTGGTGGTGGTGATGGTGATGATGGTGGTGGTCATCTTCATAGTTGTCTGCTATAAGTTTCATCCGGTTCTGTGTCTAGAATGAAAATAAAATTTAAAAAATCATCATCAACACTTTGTTCAAAGCCCATTTTCTCTAAGTATCTTTGCTGTTCCCATGTAAACCATCATTTAAAGAACAAATTCCTGCTAGTGCCTTATCACACCACTATTAGAAAAAAAAAACATCGCTATTAGTATTTTACATGATTACTAGGAACCCTTCACAGCCTATTATACACTATACCGTTTTTTTTTTGCATGACACATAAATCAGTTGCGTGCTATATAATAGGAGTCTCTTTAAATATTAAACTAAAAAAGCCAGATAATATAATTAGATGAGCAGTGATCATTCTGAAATTTTAAATGTTATGGTACAGGGGTCCAGAAATGAAATAAAATGCAACTTGGCCATTCTTCAAACATTAGACTGTTTGGTCAGCACTTCCAAAGCCCCTTTTGCCAACAACTGGTACAATGTCTAGATACCAAAGTTAGAAGCCAGTCAGCATTCATGAAATTGCTTGTTTTTACTCTCCTTGTTTGAGCAGATTTAACCAAATATAATCATATTTGGCTAGTTAGCTCTGCAAAATAGGCAGTTCTAGATACTATTCTGTCGAAAATAAGGGGCTGTTACACTAAACCGTAAAATACCTATAAACATGAGATTTAATATTATAATGCCACTTTTCTCCCTGGAAAGTGAATGCGCTTAGGAGGTGAGGCAAGCATCTTGGGTGCACTCCACTGAGCCAACTTACCTTCGGAGTGTGGGAAGAAAGCACAGGGAGAGCAATCAAACCCCATGCAGGTAGAGTCCTGGTTGGGATTTGTATCAATCAAGAACCCTAGTGCTGCAAGGCTGAAGCGCTAAGCACTAACCCAACACAACAGCTAATCATCTTTTCTGTTTTTCTTCATTAAATTGCTAGAAATGTCTAGAGTGTGTCCTCTACACAGCCTCCCATCCACAGCCATAAACATGAACTCTTGTGGAACCAAAGCAGTACTTTTTACGGTTAACAGTTTGGCTGAAATACACTGTGATGCATGTGATAGTTGCATTATACAGAATTGTCCACTGTTGACTGGATATCACATGCTTATGTATGTAGGCATTGTACAACAGTATATGATCATATACAATGAATCCAAAGCTGTTAGAGACCTATCTGGGCCCCAAATAAAGACTACCAATCTGTTTGTCAGGGATCTCCTCGATCCCCGCCGCGATGGTCCTGGCGCAGGCGCAGTGCACCGCCCTGTGCAGGGACACGGGCACTAGGTCCGGGCCGGCCGCGGCGTTCGAGTTCACGCATGCGCAGTAGAAGCCGCGGCCGCCCGCTGGGCACCAATGGCAGCGCAGGGCGGGATATTTAAATGGCCCTGAGCTGTCATTCAGTGCCTTCTGGTCTTTCCTGCATCCTGTGATTCTGCGAACCTGTACCCTGTAAGTTATTGACCTGGATTGTACCTGACCTTGCTGTTTTTCTCCTATTCTGACCCTTGCTTTGCCTGACCTCTCTCCTGGATGCCCCCTATTAGATTTGACCTGCTGTTGCTGACCTGGCGTGTGACCCGACCATTCTCTGCCCGCTGCCTTGTACCTTACCGTCCTCTCTGTTACCGACCCGGCCCGTCTGACCTTGCTCATCCAACCATCCGCCCATCCCTCGCAGTGGGGTCTTCTGACCTCCTCACATCAGACTCTTTCCCGTGGGAGCCCTTGGCGCATACCACTACCACTGACGGACACACCCAGTAGTCACGACCTGGTCTCGGGGGGCTCCAAGTCCATCCCCACCATCAGGGGCCCTGGTGAACAAGCACCCTGGGACTTAGACTCCGTGCGCTGGGGACGCCTATTCAGTGGAGTGCTAGTGGTACCGTTGGGCGGTCCCTTACACTGTTAGTGCATAATCACCCCTTTCTCATGTCTTCACACGTGTTCAAAGAAAGCTAAAAGACTGGTAATTCAACATAAAAGTAAAGACAAGTCTCACAGTAGTGGCGGGGATAGAACACCTTGCTCAGGTTTCAGCTACCTTGTATAACTCAACACATCCCTTACCCAGTCCCCCTACAATGAAATAATTAGTTGTAGGTGAATTTGGCCTTGCAAATTAGCCATCCTCACATATATTTATATGAACAAAGATCAAACAATCTCAAATCTCCACAACCAAGCCAGGACATTTTAACCAGCCAATCTGATTTTTCACCTAACAATTTTTTGAGCAGACTTTAGCTCTCAGGCAAGCATTATCCTTGTTTTACTTGCTGAATAGTAAAGTATTCAAGTGATGTCATTACACACAACTTAGAATTTTTTGAAATACCAGAATGTTTCAACAATGTACTGTACAGGGGACCAGGGATGGGTCTTGGATGGGAAATATGTATCACCTTGTTTTTGTTGTGGTCCCTTTAAGGGGGACAACAAAAGAAACACTTTGGAGTATTTAAGGATTCTCACCCATGCAAAGTGAAGGGTTCTGGGGTGATCTGTTGAAAAATGAAAACTGACTTGCAGTTTTCCCAAGATTATTAACTCCTCCTATTGGTCGTGGAATTCAGAGACTCAGAGAGATTGTAGGTGGAAACGAGCCTCCAATCCTGACTACAAGTACTTTGGACCTGAAAAAGGTTAACCCATCTGCGAGAGAGGGCTGAAAGGGGCAGGAAGCAACCAACACAATGAGGTGTTGTATGAACACAGTTGTGAGAGGGATGTGGGTTGCTTATCTGATGAGATGCTACTGGGCTTTGTCACCTATTTCTGGACCCCTGAAACAGGCGAGAACTTTAAACCCTGTGGTGGGACAGGTTTATACTGGCAGTGAGCCAAACCTTTGCTTTTTTGTACCAGATGTTCATGATCTGTTTTGTTTGATTTATGCTGAAAAAAGCTACATTGTTTGACTATTTTTAAAGAAATAAAAACTATTTATTTTACAAAGATGACTGGCTAGTGATCCAGACCCCAAAAATATTAAAGTGTATTTATCAAAATGTACAGTTTATTTTAAAACCGTTGAAATAGATCTATTTGAAGAAAGCCAGTAATATTTATTTC